CTTTGGGATTGGAGGCGTGTTTGGACTTGAAGGTGCTGGGGGTGATTGTGATTGAATGGAACTTGTCTGAGAGGAGAACAATGTGCCAAAGTCCGAGGTGATTTGGGTGGAAGACTCCCAGGACTATTTATATCTTACTTATTTTGATTTACAGTCAGTCTTTCCAGGATCCTGATCCTGGTCCTGCTGTGCAGGTTCCCACTGATTCACTTTTATTGGAGGACGCCCAGTTCAGTCATATGTCATTGGCTGATCACTCATTCGCTCCAGGATCCCGCACCACCTCAACACGCTGCATTGAAGGACGTGCACCTCGACAAGGCTCAGTATAGGAAGTCGAGTGATTCTGTGTTCATTGCCTTTGGTCAGGCGCTCTCTTCCGCGGTGACATTCACCCACAAGGCATCCACACAATTAGTTACAGTTCAGTGCCAAAAAGTTATTTGTTTTCAGGTGGACATGGTTTCAATGAAGGCTCTTGCAGCACCACAACGGGATGACCAACAGGCAAACAGTTTGAATCTTCAACCCCCTGATTGTTTCCGTCTGCCCGAACAGGCTACTCCGATGGGTGGCAAAAAGCGAAGCGTGTCTGAGGCTCCGTGCGTTGTGGGTACAGCCAGCAAGTGTGCTGCAGCCTGACAGGACTTCGAGACTGCATCCACCTGGGCCAAGGCATGGCTTGCACACTACAAGTCTGTTTGTTTCTTTGAGCCCTGCAGGATAAGAAAGCTCGACGTGTGGAGCTGGATAGTTGTGAAGCAAACTAGATCTCATTAGGGGCAGGGCTGAACCTCACAGTCAGTGTCAGCGTCTTCCTGACTGAAAAAGAATGCCGACTAAGTACTGTAAGGTTGCAGGCCAAATATGACCCTTACAGTGATTTGAGGCTCAGGCATCACAGGTCTCCCAAATGCCGTTGTGCCTTAGAGACGCTGTGTGTGCAGCCACGCGAGCTCCACTGAAACCAAGCAGGAGCAAACTTGTTTGATCGCTTTTGGTCTCGAATCTCAAATTACTGATTGTTGAGCAGGACAGCCAAGACCGTGAAAAAGTTGAACAAACTCAAGTCTAAGAACAGTGAAAGGCTGGCTTTTGGATTGAACTTGAAAGTCCAGCCACTTCTTTTTGGAAGGGGTGATATAGTGCATGTGTGGGAGGCGGTGGAAGTACCCAAGAACAACTGTGTGGGCTCCGTCATCCAATCACGTGGATGGGTATCGATCCATTCACAGTGCTTACGCATGGCCACGGCATTTCATCAAACGCCTGGAGAAGCGGTATGGCCAGGCCCTTCTGACATCTAGATTGCGGGCGTGGCGTTGGTGCTTCAGCAGTGCCTTTTCTGGCATTGGGGCTGCGGAGTCGGCCGGGAACCCATTGGTCTGACACTGTGTGTTGTTCGTTATGCTTCTGACTTCCGCGAGGCATTGAAGAGTCTTGAAGCGGAATGTCACGACTATTTGAGAAAAGTCCAGAAGCCAGCGAAGACCACCAGTGTTCTTTATGATTTCACGGTGGAAAATGATCCTGCGTGCGCACAGGTACTCAAATCAACGTACGGTGGATGCAACTTTCATGACATTTTGGAGTTTGACGCCAGCAAGGCCACACTGTGGTGCTCAGCACACAAGCGCTATTGCTGTGTTCGCAAGCATCGTAAGAAGAACAGAAACTTAGCATCATCGTAACTGTTTGAGTCTGGTGAGCAACAACCATGTTCAGGGTGTGCACCACATTCAGTTTGTGCTTAGGACGGCTGAAGGTGAATGCCGCTGGTGAGGGTCTTGGAGTGTATCTAAAGCGTATCTAGACACATTGACTGAGGGAGACTCATACTGAATCCCAGTTTTTCTTCTGAACAAGGACCCGTCTGCATCAGCTTCTCACGAATGGGGAAACGCTTGGGAACCAACGACATAGCATTTAAGACCCATGAGAGCTACTATGCCAACATGTCTGCACTATGCGACGTCATGTTGATAGAGAACGTCCCGGACTACAAGGTGGACATCATTCAGGGCGAGCTCGGAGAGGGTTGGCAGCTGAAGGGAGCAGTGATTGACCCCAGGATATTTGGGGTGCCATGCTCACGAACAAGGCTATATTGCATTGCTTTCAACAAAGCACGTGCCACTTGGAGACCCGACATTGTCATCTCGGAGGTCATCGACGCTCTTGCAGCAAAGATGGTGTCGAGCGCCAAGTCGTGCTTTTGGATGGACCTGCCAAGGGCAAAGCTGACAGCGGCAGATGACACTTGGGATAAATGGTACTATTTTATCTATTTTCACTTGACACCCACCCCTGTTTCATCCTGTCTAGAAAAGGTTCTTGACCGGTGTGTGGATCTTAGATGATCTTAGGCACGGAACCTAGCAGCTTATAGGAATGACGACAAGTTCAAGGGGAAATCTTTTCCTGACCTTTGCCAGTCCTCTGCTAATGGACGGGGCCGTGCAGAGCTCCGTGACGGCTCACTGGAGACGTTGACTACGAACTCATCCAAGATTTTCTCGCTGGACCTTGAAACCGTGTTTGTTTTTTGAATTTCAATGACCCCCAAAGTATGCTTAGATAGGAACCGTAAAGAGTGTTAATTGTCCACATTGACTCCCTTGCTCCAGGACCACAACAGGTTCCTAGCACCAGCGGAAATGATCGCAACGCACATTCTGCCTGTAACATCTGGGCAGTCCAAATTGTGCAAAGCTCCAAAGCTTGAGCTGGACCACGATGTGGTCCGGCCTTCCAATTTGGTCAGAATGGCAGGTAACAGTATGAGCTGCCCTTGTGTTGGAGCTATGCTAATGATTGCGGCTCTAGCTCTGAAGCGCAAAGAGTGAGGGTTTGTCGCCCTCTATAATTCGATCGATGAAGGACGGCCCCAGCAGTGCCAAACCAGTTCAACACTCAGTTCAACGTCTTTGGGTAACACCACGGGGTTGCAACAAGTTTGGTTTACAGCAAGGCACTTCAACCACCCCCGATGCAGTTCTTTTGGGCTCGGCATTCAACATGCCTCCTACCAAGCGGCCAGGAGGGCCGCCCCCGGGCGATGGTGGTCGGGGTAAAGTCCTCAAGGAGTCTATGCCATGGGCCAGCGAGGTGTTCCAATGTTCAAGGTGCCATTAGTCTAGAACACAATCCTATACAACCTAACCTTGACCAAGATCGCTGGAGGTCATTTGATGTGGGGAAGGACGAGCATCCTGCACGACAACTGCTGGAGGAACTAGGTCCAGGCCTGTATGATCCTATCCAGACCTGGCTTTCAGATCTCGAACCAACATTTCCGGATCCGAAGAACTATAATGTTCCAGTAGCTGGACAGTGTTTTGTGAATGGTCCCTGCTTGTTCCATTCAAGGAACGTCGCTTTGGAAGCCCCCGTCCATTCTGAGGTAGACTTGGCAGGTGCAGACATTGTCGATGTCCCGGTGATGGCTTTCAAATACTTGAAGCCTGTCGATGGGTTCCCTCTATTCCACCAAAGGACATTTTTTTCCGTGGCTTTGAGCCTTGGCGTGAGGTCATCGAAATCAAGATCGTCGATGGTGGACCTGCCGAGGGGAGTCCGATGGCCTTCGGAAGTGTGGTGGCAGTGAAAGGATTGGGCCGGGTTTCCATCATACTTTGGGGCATCTACCACACCTACCAGAAACTCCGGGAGGAGTTGAAAGAGGAGAAACTGACAGACTTCCTGAGGCCAGGGTATAAAAAGTGTCGTCTTGGAGACCTGAAAAATTGACCCTCTCCCAAGGTGATGGTTCCACCCAAACCGTCGCCTTACAAACTAGTCGTCTTGGGCCATCAGACTTAATCGCTGTGCCCGCAAAATATCTCCAAGGTGATGGTTTGGACCAAACCGTCGTCTTGGGATATTTTGGCGGCATGAAAACGAACACATCGGATTGCCTAGATATTTTGGGGGTCACACCTAGATATTTTGGGGGCACCTGCCAAAAGACTCCCCAAGGTGATGGTTTCACCCAAACCGTCGTCTTGGAAATTTTGTTTTTAAAGTCCCTCCAAGGTGACGCTTTTTATCGTCTAAAGAAATGTTCATGATTTTTCTATTCGTCAGGTGGGCCAATACCGTCAAACTGATTAATTGCAAAATTGTCACGGTCACTGCGGCAGAATGCTCGTGGAGACGACTACAAGTGCACGAGCAGCAGGCTCAGCGGGAGAAGAAAAGCATTCTCCAGAAGGCTTTATTCTTTGAAGGACGTGCTAAAGACTTGCAAAGCCAGGACAGGCAATACCCAAACAATGTCACTAAATTATCATGTTGGGATGTCGAACCTTATTATCCAGCCCGTGAAGTAGTGTATATAATCTGTTGCCCACAGTTGGATGTGACGCTAGGTATCATGTGGTTCATACGAGGTCTGATTGCAATGAAAGGCAGTCGGTCCATCATTGGATTTAATTTGAAACCTTTGACCACCAGGATCCGGTGAAATACAACGACTTCAAGACTGCATTCATGGCAGCGATTGATGAGTACAACCAGTTTGGGCAGTCAAATTTTTCCTCGCGCTGCAGAGTTGATGATACGACAGCCTCGCAGTTATATGGTTTTCGAGCCCCTAGTCTTGACCGACTGTTGTTTTGCAAGCTTTGCCGACAAGGTATCTCAAAGGGGGTCCATTTTGTGCGACACGGGGTTTTGCGCCCTGTCTTGAACCCCTAGGTGGGCGTCTCGGAGGAGACCTGGTTGCTCTTGGAGAAACATCTCCATCAGTTCAAGTTCGAGAACTCAGGAGCGGGGAACCAGTGCCAGGTGGAACCCAACCTATCCCAACCTCACCTTTCAAAGTTGGTCTGTATCTTGTAAGTATCACATTGTGATATTACTGTTGCTGCATTGTTGCTCCTTGTGCCCGCGGAACCCTGTCAGCTTTATCGAACCCGGTGCTGCTCGATGAGCGATGGCTCTTGGGAAGTACGAGTTCACTTTCGGGAGCTCGCAACTCAGATGTTTGGCGAGAGATTATGACCATCAACGCCGAAAAACAGCTGGTGTTCATCCGGCGCATCTTGTATACCCATGAATTGGCAGTCCGTCGAGGTGGGAAGTCATCAACCCTGAAAGTCAATCTGACTGATTGGCACAATGAGCTCGATCGCATGTCCGTCCTGGCGCACATTCTCAACAAGATGTTTGAGGCAAGGGACGAGGACGGTGAAGTCTTATTCCCCATGGCGATGATGCACACAGTTGCGGAACGGGCTATTGAAGGGAACCTCTGATTTAACTTCAGGGCTTTTCTTTTTGGGACTGGCGGGTGAACAAAACTATCAATCACGTTGTAAATGGTTGTTTGATGTTGTTTGCCTCCAAGGGATTATCACGATGAAGCGGATTCCTTGCTTGGCTGCATGGATCCATTGTTCAAGGTGGAAGCCACAGCGATCTACAATGAGTTTTTGCCTGACCGTCCAAGCAAGAACATCGCCCAAGTTGAATCCGCAGACACGAAGCTGGACTCTCTTGCACTTGATGCAAAACGAGCTCAGTACGAATCTGACCAGCTCTCCCTCGCAAGGGACATTGCACAAATCGGCAATTTGATCCGTGCGCTTTCCAAATCAGACCATGCACGGAGAACAGAAAGGATTCTTCACATCCGGAACCAGAATGTGATCGGCGCCAGCCTAGTATCCACCTGGATGGCATCGAGCTGCTCAGTGATGTCTGGCTCTGTGAAAGATCAAGCTGCAGCCATTGAAAGGGCCAGGAGTTTCCAAATGAAGATTCATTTTGGTTGGTATTGGATATTAATATTGGACCGACCTCGTGTTTCCAACGTAACTAGGCGCAATCACCTCAAGAGGACTCATATTTTTCCAAATAGCTGATTGAGTCTGAGTCTTCCGGAAGGCGCTTGCGCAGAACCCTTCCGCCCCAGTGCTGGTTTGGTGCGATTTCATGAAGATGGGCAGATTGTCAAAGACTGACATCCAAGACACAACGGAATTGATTCAGCTCGCTTTGAAGAAGCGACCTGCATCATCAGTTGCGTTTGTGATCAGCCCTTTTTTGACGTCCGAGAAGGTAACGTCAGGTCATCGTGGGGAGTTGAGGCACGGCACTAGTTGGACAACTGCAATGTGGTTCAGTTGTTGTTGCACAATGATGTTTGGAAAGAAGGCTCAGTTACATTGAACTGGATGAAGCTGGTCTAGTTGGCCTGTCAGTCTGTCAGGCGCCTGGAAGATAAATACGACGCCCGGAACTTGTGGAGCGATGCAATCAACATCAGGTGCGCTCCTCCGAGTACCAAGCGGAAGATCCCGATCACCTATGACGCCTGGATTCTCATGGAGGAGCACAACCGGGGTGAGAACATCTTCAGATCTTCCCAACTATTGCTTGACAGGCGAGGGCACAAATTTATTTGAAGCACGTGAGGTATAGGAAGATGTACCAAATGTTGATCATGATACTCCAATTTCTTATAATTCTGGTTTAAATATCAATCAATGCTGCGCAAACCGTTTTCTGGTCAGGAGCAATCGAGTTGACATCACACTTCCGAACGAATCAGCTTACATCATTCCGGCTGCAAACAAGGATGACCTTCCCCATGCGAGCGAAGGACTTAGGACAGACAGCAACGATAAACTTAGAGACTCACTTTATGTCAGACTGAGAGCATTAAAAACTATCAAAACGGATCTGACAGATAAACGATAAACTTTATAGACTCACCAAACTCAGGACAAAAACTATCAAACAAATCAAATCAAACCACCTATGGAGGGATCATTTTCATTGATTGGGGAATTCAGAAATTGTGCAATCAATGCGAAATCCCACACAAGGCTGTAAGTGGGGGGATCTGGTTGTGGACGCGCCCTTCCCATGCCCTTCCTGCCTCACGACAGGAGCCTGTCTGATGTTCAAGAAGCAGCGCAAATCCTTGGAGGAGAGCAATTTCCACGGGTGCTGATTTCGACTCTGTTGGACAAGTCTGACATCAAGAATGACGAGACCCTGCTATGCATCAATCTGACTCCATACGACGCATGGTTGGAGAAGACACTCTCCAAATGGAGCACCTATGGCCTCACTCACAAGTTCAAGTCAGTCAGTCTTACAAAGCAGCTACCCGCTTGCCAGTATGTGGAAAAGTCTTTGGCCATCGAATTCCTGGAGGACTGGGCCAAAAAAGTTTTTTTTTCACAATTATGATACTAAATTAGAGAACCTTGCGGGAACCTCCCTGGGAACCTCTCCTCACAGCAAGAGAGCCTTGCGCAGGAGTGGAAGACTCAGAAAGACCCGTCCAAAATCCGAATCGGGAATGTCAGGCCTTACGAGGCCACCCCACCTACGCCTTCATGTGATGTGAGCTGTGACCCGACCAAATTCCCACTCAAGCTGGTCCAAGTGGACTACGAGTACGACACAGCGATGAACACTTGGAAGAACCTACGCTTCAGACTGCCACCAGCTGTCAGAGCAAGGCATTTGTCTGACCCAGTTTTTGGGTCAGACTGGTCGGCATGGCTCCAGGACTTCGATAAAAAGCCATCTAGCAGTAATAGAGATTTGTTTTTTGTCTATTTTTTTCACCGACTCCAACACAATCTAACACGATCTAGCAATAACACTCTTTTCGACCATCCCTTCCAGCCCAGACCATCAGGTTCGGGAACCAGACCATGGACGACGCAGAGCATATGAAAGCCTTGGTCGTTGGGGAGTCCGAAGAACCCGAGACCCCGATTGCCCCGATGGAGCCTTGGAAGGGAGAGCCTGCAACCATCGATGCTTTGCTCGACACCCATATTTTGGAAAACAAAGTCGCCGGCCGGACTCCGGGCACCACTCTATATTTGGTGTCTGCAAAACGCCGCGACGGTGAAGTAGAAGGAACCCTTCCACACCAGAAATGGAAACTGTTTCTGGTGACACGGCTGATGATTTTGCTTTTTGTTCATGAACTTTGGAATCCAAACCAACAGTACACAATAGATCAAAGTAAACCGATGTAAGGTCTAAGAACTTTGATCTTAGAGTCTTTTGTTCTAAGTCTAAGAACTTTGATCTTAGAGTCTTTGATCTAAGAACTTTAGTTCGATCCATTTCAATTATTCCATCAACTTTGAGGCAGCAACCCTTCCCGTGGAGGTGGGCACTATGGAGTTTCAGGTCTGCCACGCATCATCGAAATGGATCAAATCCGACAGAGTTGCCACCATGAAACGTCAAGACAAAGAAGGTCCTCCTTGCTTGGTTTGACGTCTTTGAGTCAAGCGTGGTTATTGTTAATTGCTTCAACGTAAGCATCAAAAGTCTGAAACTCCCTCTGATCTGCATGGCTCAAACCCTAGGAGCAATTGATTTTCAGGAACCACATTTTGGAGCACTTACTTGTAGTGATCAGCAATGAGTCGGATTGAGCAGCTTTTGGCAGAGCATGGTTTTGACCAGGCTTGGCGTGTCAAGTGAATTGCGCAGCCACTTTTTTTCTCTCTGTCTTTGCACTGAATTATTTGATGTTTTTCCTGGACGCGAGGACCTCCATCTCATGATTAATGACAGCCCTGGTGTTCTTAACACGCCTCCGCCTCGCCCAGTAGAAATCTTAAATCTGACAAACACCTCAACTGGAATATTAGTCTCAAACACCTCAACTCGGACTTAGGCCTTCAAGTCTCCGAACTCGACAGCGCCAAAGGACCATTGGGTGACAACTGACTCACGACTAATGCACTAGACACTAATCTCACCTTGTTGCCAGACTGATGCTCTAGACTAATGCAACACTATCACCTTGTTGCCAGGAGCAAGGTGTACCAGCAGCAGGTCCAACAGTCCGTGAGTTCAAGCTTGTACCAGGCAGCAACAGTCCAGGCGAAAAACCAGACTCAGAGCTACCTGAGGGCACGCCAACTCCCAAAGAGCAACCTGAGACTCGACCAGAGCAAGATGAGACTACAGTGATGCATGCTCCAAAAGCTCCAAAGGTGCCGATGCAGGTGATGAACAGAGATGTGGAGAATGATCCTGAGATGTCGCAAAAGAGGGTCCAAGCGCTGAAGGACGAGATTGCTGCACTGAAGAAGCAAGTCAAGACACAAAAGAAGACAGAAAAGCAGGAGGAGCCTAAAGCCTCAGGGAAGGCCAAAGCGAAGGCTTCAGGGAAGCCTACAGCAAAGGCCAAAGCTTCAGGGAAGGCTACAGCAAAAGCAAAGTCCAAAGCTTCAAGCAAAGGGAGGAAGTTGACAAAGGAGGAGGAGGAAAACCCCCTAGACCCAGAGGAACCTTCAAGCTCCGACCCCTCACTGACAGATGAGGATCCACAGAAGGAGGCCACTGCTGAACATGGAGAACTTCCCAAGCAGGAGCCGCAGGCGGCAAAGGGGGAACCACGTGAGACTCAGAAGAAAGAAAAGAAGCCAAAGCGTGCTGCACCTGAGGTGCCTGGGAAAAAGGAGACCAAAGAAAAGCAGAACAAGTTTCAGCTTTCTGCGGAAGAAAGGAAGGCGGCCATGATGGCATTCACGAGGACTGGGACAGAGACGAAGGAGCCAGAGACGAAGGGAAGGAAGAGGGCGCTTCTGAAGGAAGACGCTGACAAGGAGGAGGTCGAAAATGAGAATCAGAAGCGTGCGGGTGGGAAGAAGACGAAGGCTGTGGAGCAGGGTCCGAGTGACCAAGAGAAGAATGCAGGTCAGGAGACCAAGCCTCGAAAGTCAAGGAGAAAGAACGAAGATGGATCAAAGGACTGGCCATTTAAGGGGGACCAACTTGTTGCATTGGACCAGCTATCTAGCCAACTTGCTATCCAACCATCTGTCTTTCCAACCATCTATTCATCTTACTATCATGTTATGCTATCAATCTATGTCACGCTTTGGCCAGGCCAAGTCTGGCGCTCCTGGCCTTGTTGGCCTTCGCGCGACCTTTTGGAACCACATCCATGAGGCCCAGAAGAGACTTCAGGAAGCCCATCCGGAAGCATCCAAGAAAGAAGTTTTGAAGATGGCAAGGGAAGAGTCATGGCCCCAAAAATGACTGACCGATTGAACTCTGAAGTAAACTCTAGCCGGCTCTGAAGTAAACTCTAGGCGATTTTACTGTCAGAACTGTTTGGAACTATTCCAGCATGTTATTCGAGTTGCGGGCAAGAACTTGAACGATGAACCAATCACTGCAACCTTTTACGAGTAGATGGCGCAATCCCCAAAAGGTGTTGGTTTAGATGGACCCCCATAAAAACAACACATCTTGGGGGTTGTGCCACCTATCATCTACTCTGAAACCACTGGTCACTGTATCTCTTTGAGGTGGGGTCAGCATCCTGAACGAGTGGCCAGCATGAAGAACCTTTCCCCTTCGGAGCTGAGCAGGCGACGTCTCCGAAAGAAGGCACAGCCCGCCATCGAGGAACCCAATGGTGAGGACCTTGGTGCGCTGGAGGATCCTCCTGAGGAGGAACCTGCTGAGGAGGAACCTCCTGTTCCTGAGGATCTGGATGATCCCGAGGATCTGGATGATCCCGAGGATCTGGATGATCCTAATCCCGAGGATATTCCTAATCCAGAGGATATGGAGGATATTCCTAATCCAGAGGATATGGATGAAGCCGGTGAATCTGAGCTGGAAGAGGGCTCGGGTGGTGTCGAATGAAATGTCACCGTGAGCCATGAGCCTATGATGTTCACCAAATGTGGTCTACTGGGGCTTGCCAGAAACAGACAACCCGCATGAAGTCCGGCTATAAAGATTTAAAGGCCATGAGAATAGGATTTATTTGTTTATTAGACGAATGGAACCTGTTTTGTTTCAAGCTGACGTATTTTTAATGTAAGAATGGATCCTGTTTTTATGTAAGAATTGGTGCGGGTGAGTGCGGGTTGCTAACTGGCACAATATCTTAGTATGAGATACTAGGGAATACAGTATCTCTCATCTAGGTCGGAGGTAGTTCGATGTATCCAACCTCTCTCGCTTCGCCGAGCCGCGCAAGAAAAGGACCCAATGTCTATCAACGCACCCTTGAAACAATGATCAAACGGAGCTCCCAAAAACCACTGAAACAATGGTTCACCGATTGTATGCCAGGTGAACTGGAACGGATCATTGCAGCTGAGTGGAAAAGTTCTTCTGAGCACGTCGTGCTTGAAGTTCCGAATGAACAAAACCCAAAGGCTTGCCGTGACAGCGAGCGGTGCACTTGGGCCACGTTGCTTAGAGAGATGGGTGAAGCTGGGGTGACAGACCCAACGGTGAACTCTCATGAGCTATCCACCCCAATCACGACAGAAGGCAGGGCTGGTTTTCTTGTCAACCACTGTCCCCACTTACAGTCTTCTGCATCCTTTGGATTCCTATTGGGGTCTTCTTACTGTCCTTCCAACCTTGAGAACAGGAGTCCAATCCTACATCATCAAGCCGAAGGCCGTCCAGAACTACTTCCAATACTCAGTTCCTTCTGGCAGTGGTGTGAAGTATTCGACTTTGGCCAGTTACTTCACAATAGCTGACACTTAAACTTGAAGTTTACTGGCTTACTTTTCTTGTTGCTGGGGCTCCCACTTTCCACCATCATTGCCCTTTCCACCATTGCTCAGGAGCTTGAAGCCAGCCGTCAGCTGGATCGAGTTTGGAGGGTGGCATACATACAGCAGATCAACGAGATCAGCCCTAGACACTGAGAGACAATTTTTTGTGATGTGTCCATGGAGTGAATGCCCATGAGTGGCAGTTTGCCACTTGTCCAAACTGAGGAAAACCTCTGTATTTCTTGAAGCAACCGATCAAGATGACTGAGGGCAGCGTAATCCGACTTGTCTAGGTCTGTGTTGAAAGACTGCTAAGTGCCAAATGTTGAAGAAAGTCTCAAAGCATCAACGACTTTTCCAGGTATTTCTTCAGGAGCCCTGTGGAGTTAAATGCAGTCTTGATACTCAGTTTTGCTGAACGTTACCCGACGAAGTTCCTTCCCAGCCAGTGAAAAAAGGATGGTTTGCGGTCTCGGCTGAATAACTCTTAGAGAGCAAAAACAGTCCCTGCTCAGACTTCCAACAAAGTGTTGAAACCTGAACAGATTGAAATAGGACCTGAATAGAGCGAAATCTACTTAACTATATAACAATACTAAATTGATTTACATTCCGTTGATTGTCAATTGTTAATTCTGAGACAGGAACTAGCGACACTTCTTAGATGGAGAACCCTGGAGGTAAAGGACGGAAGGATTCACAGGTGGTGTGTTGTTTTGCATTTGTGCAGAGAATGTCAAGCTTGTGTATTTACATTAGTATTAAAAACTATAATATAAAAGAATAAGCAGTTTTGAGATAGCCTTCTTGCAAGATCATTTTGCACTTCTTGAGATCTCCCAGGGATCCCTGCGTTTTCTGGACAGTTCACCCAATATCCCTGCAGCCTCCTGTGGAAGACACCCTGTGAGGGCACGCCCCAGGTCGCCTCGGCCATGAGAGCTTGCTGACCGATGTGAGGGTCGCCTACCGTGTGAGGAGCTTGGGTGGCTCGGAACCAAAGGCCTACCAGGTCCATTGTCTCGACTTTACCCTTGACTACTTACTATTATGCAGTGATTTCAGAGTAGATGGCACAAACCCCAATGTCGGTGGTTTGTATGGACCCCTATATAGAAGACATCTTGGGGGTTGCGCCATCTATTCTGAAATCACTGTATAGAGATGTCCAGACAGGATGGTGACAGGATGCTCCAGACAGGTCACTCTCTCTGACTTGTATGCTGACTTGTCTCTGGGGGTGCAGAGGCGTTGTCAACTCCAACACCCCTCCGGCTGAGCCAGGTGTCGACCGAAGCATGGACATGGACATGGTGGGAAGGAGCCAATCTGATAGGAAATGCAGAGGGAATGCATAAAAGGATTTTTCATGTAGACGGTTGACGAGTAAAATCCTCCATATGAGCAGGTTTTACAAGCCCAATGGGCCCAATGGGGGGGTTCTATCGATCAACAGTCTACCACTACTGGTGAGTGAAGAAATCCTTCACTACCTGGCCACCACCAAAACACCCTCAGTGCGATGGGTTTGCACCCCATCGCTGGTGTAGGAGTTGTTCTCTTCAGCAGTAGGACCACTAAAGTCGTACATAACATATCAGGAACTGTTCAGTTTGATTTTTGTTCACACCGTTTTCTGTGCAACCTCTATCAGCCATCCTGAAGAGGCCCTTCCAATCTGTAACCACATGCCCTTTGGCCAAAGAGAGAACTGAGTACATCACAAACCGAGTATTTGAGCCATTTTGAGGCAAGTGCATCGCGTTCTCACGAACCAACCCTTTCTGCATTTGGGAAGCCACTGTTTTTTCTGCGCACCGGCTCAGGTTATCCCCCGATCCCCGTGCTGATGCTGACACAAAGTAGCTTTCAGCAGCTTGCCGCCGACCTTGGACAGCACGGAGCTTCTGCACAGGCGCACGCTGCACAGCTGTCAACCGCGCCGATGGGCTCGTTGTGCGCAAGGAGGAACCTTGCGAATGTCTTTGTGTGGAAGCGGTTTGTGGATCATTCTGGACGTGGCTCAAAATGGTGCTTCCCAACGGGCTTTTCATCTACTGGTCCCTAGAAGCTCTTACAATCGATGTAAAATGATGTAAATATACAATGTCATGTTTTGCATAACAGGGATGGCAGAGAACGTCATGTTTTGCGCGCCTTGGAAAGGTCATGACATGTCACTCCTTCAGAGTGTTTTTACTTGAAGGGCAAGGGTCAATTTGTGTGCAAATTTGCTCCCAGCATTGAAGGTAAATCACTCGACCCTAGGAAGGTGTTACCCTCCAAAAGACCAGTGGAAGGTACCCAAGCCGATTGAACCATCACCATATCGCCTCTCAAACTGTGCTTGTTTATATAACTACTATAGATGCCCCCCCGGTACTCCTACCATCCAAATATACCCACCCAATCCTTCCGCCCTCGTTGTGCACGTTGGCGCCCTCGTTGGCCCAGGGCTCCTTCCAGATCCTCCCGGATGCCTTCCCTCGGCGCACGCTGCGGCGGCGCCTGTGCCAGGCCCGAGGGGAGCGGGTTTGGTGCCAAGGACCGGACAGGTGCAGAGTGCCCAGTCTTGGAAAACCCACTTGGGCCGTTTTGAGTGGACTCAAGTGCTTGATATATGCTTGAGCCATTCATACATTCTACATCATTTCATCAAGACTGCGCAATCGCGAAGGTGTGGTAGAGTCGTCGTGCTACCAATATGTGAAAAAGAAATAACAGTAAACTGATATGTAATCATACACGTGTTTAAAAAAAAACTTCATTGGATATATTTTCTTAAACAAAAAAGTCAATCCCAAAAGTCAAAGTCAAAAAAATCAAAGCATAAAATTTCAGAAAGTCAAAAAACAATTCATTTTGCCCAGATCCGACTTTTTTGTTTAATGTTGTTCGACTTTGTTTTAAACTTGCTTTTGACTTTTTTCAACGTTTTTGACTTTTTGTTCGCTTGTTGTTTAGAATTTTTTGAGTGGTTGACTGTTTTTAAGTAAAATGTTTCAGGGTAATAGCCCCGACTTCATCACTGGTGGCAGCTACGGAAGGGGAACCCCCTCCTAAGCGCCCGAGGGGCGAGAGAGGTGGCCAGAAAACTCGCAAGCAGAAGGAATTGCGGCAGCGAGTGGAGGCAGGGGATATTGCTCCGGCAGCACATGAACTCACACGTGCTGAAAGAAGATTTCCATGAAAGACTCCTGGAGAAGCGACAGGAATCAAAACAAATCGTGTCTGACTTTTCCGATCTCGCGGATGAGTCGTTGGAAACGGGGGGTCGGCATCCTTTGAGTGGCCAAAACATTGCAGTGGTTGGGGGGGAAATTGACAAACTGATCCCAACATGATATGACTTCGTCCCATCCCTGCAGTTGCTCTTTCTCCCTCGAGATCAAGGGGAAGAGGCCCAAGAAACCATGGAGAATCGTGAGCACCAATGAGCGCTTGTCGGTCGAGATGGAAAGCCGTAAACGCCGACATCCCAAGGGATTCAAGCATGATATCCTGGAAGGGGGGGAGTTGCCTATTTGAGTGTGTTTTACAACCGCGAGATGGCTACTTCTATCCTTTGTTCCTTGTTTCCGGAAAAGTTCATGGAAGGGCTTGTGACCATGATGGTGAGGCTTTATCCTTAAAGGTGGAAAGAATCTTCGAGCAACTTAGGGAAGGGCGCTTGTTGAACAATGCTCAAGCTTTGGTGCACCGGGCTTAACAAAGAAACAGATACGTGAGGACCCAAAGGCAGTCGAGGCAATCAAGAAAGAGGTTGCTGATGTGCGATCCATGGGTGTTTGGGACGACGCGAGCGTAACAGAGTACGAAGAGCTAAAGTCATGGGCCAAACAAAACAACCAGGAGATCCACATAGCAGAGGTCAAGGAGGTAGGTTCAATCAAGCATGACGAACTTGGCCCCTCGCTGAGCCAACACAAAGGCCGGTTGGTCTTTAGAGGAGACCTAACCAGAAACCAAGACGGATTGCCCGCGAAATTCCGTGAATTGCACAGTCAACCAGCTAGCATATATGACAATTGCGATGGTGTTATTTTACGGAATTGTTGGTTCCAATTGCGTCTTCATTGCTGACGCTAAGAGGGCGTATTTGCAAGCAGTACTAAGGAGTCCAACACCCACCTGGGTGCTGCTACCAGAGTCGTGTTGGTTGCCAGAATGGGTTGGGAAGTTTTGGAAGCCCGCAGTGAGGCTGTTGCGCCCACTGTATGGGCATCCTGACGCAGGTGATGATTGGTTTCATTACCTGTCCGATGTCATGAAGGAACTTGGCTTTGCAACGCCAGAAAGAACTTCCCGTCACTTTGGTGGAACAGTCATACCAGTCTCATGGTTGCAGCATACGTCGATGACATAGTTTGCGCAGGATGTGCGGATGAAGCGTCAGCTTTTTGGGTTTCGCTCAAAACAAAAATCGATGTAGATGGGGTAGAGGTTCCAGGACGGTATCTCGGTCGTGATCACGGCGTCAAAGAGGTCGCCGAAGGCAAATCTTTGTTCATGTCAATGGCTGAGTATTGTCGCTCGGCTGTGGAGCTTTATCTTCAGGCAGTAGGTCACGTTGTGCTGAAGCCCGTGCAAACACCATACTTGAACGAATCAGAACTGAATGTAGGTGATAGGGAGGCAAAGGGCAGTCTTGGTGAACGATCGGCATCAATTCTGATGAAAGTACTGTGGCTAGCCCGCCTAAGTAGACCTGATCTATCCCATGGGGTCACCAAGCTGGCTTCAGGTATCACACGCTGGTCTATAAACCATGGCAAGATGCTTCACAGGTTGGTTGCATACATGCAGGGTACCAGTGAATACGGTGTTAAATTGCTTTGTCCATCAGAATCCTTCAAACATTGAACTTCACCTTTTCACAGACGCTAATCTAGGAGGTGATGTGACCACAATGAAATCACACACTGGAATCTACCTGTGCGTCATGAGCTCCGATGGGACCATGTTTCCTGTTTCGTGGACTTCTCGCAGGCAACAATGCGTTTCCAAGTCAACCACGGAATCAGAAATTGTAGCGTTACATGACGGCCTGTACTCAGATGCCATTCCTGTCCAAACAGTGTTGCAGATGGTGTTCAAACGAAGCATTCCCCTCATCATACATGAGGACAATATGGCTTGCATTCAAATACTGAGGGCTGGGTACAGCGCTCGCCTCAAAGCTATGAACAGGACACATAAACTGTCCATCGCAGCAATTTCTGAGACCATAAACGACTTAGGACTGGAACTGAGGTACACGGAGTCGAGCGAACAGTTGGCCGACGTCTTCACGAAGGCGCTTGCCAAGGTGAAATTCCTGGCAGCTTTGCAGAAGCTCCGCATTGGAACCCCATCCCAGGACTTTACTAAGGAGAACGGAAGCCCGAAAGTGTAGCGGTAAAACCAACACGGGAAACCAGCGCTTGCGCGGTTCCCACACTAAGGACATGTTGCCATATATGCATTGGCTTTCATGGCTCTGGCTGGCTTTGACTTTGTCGGCTTGACGTTCTTGATTGCCTTCTTGCATAGCCTCAAGTGGCCAAAGTGCCTGACCTACGCATTGCGCGGTAAAAGTGAAAGGGATGAGAGCAGGATGTCCAAGTGGGCCACTACCCGCATTTTGCGGTGAATCTGTTTCACAGTTTCCTTTGTACAATTGAACTATTGTAAAGATGAAACATTTCTCTGCCCGATACGGTTGATGATAGCACCTTCTTCGCTCGGTACGGAACCCTGGCTGGGGCACTGGGGGGGTTCCGTTCCTAGCGCTGGGTCACGCCGGCGCTTGCGCGGGAGGACGTGAGTCCAACCGTGCCGGGGGGGGAAGTTAAATGTTTCAGGATAATAACCCCACCTATGTATAGATAATGTAAAGCACACATACACTAATGCATAATTTGGTTCCCCAAGCATGGCCCTACAAGGGGCAACATGCACAAAGAAGATTAGCATAGCCGATGGCATGCAGAGGATGACACGCACTGATTTGGCTCAAGCGCTAGCAAAAGGCATTGGTGCCTGTGTTCACTATTTTTGACTTTTTCGAGTTTTTTGTTTGGAATTTGATTTCTGTTGACTTTTTTTGGCTGTTTTTTGTGCGACTTTTTTTGACGTGTTTTTTTTCGACTTTTTCGAGCTGTGGTCTATGGTTGACTTTTTTCTTTTCGCTTTGACTTTTCAATTTGATATTTTTTGATTTTGACTTTTCCAGTTGACTTTTTTGATTTGTTTTCGACTTGTGTTTTTAATCAAGGATTCTGGCCTTACCATATGAGTTTTTTTATAATCATACACTATACCAAAGTTGGGGTCCCTTGTTGAGTGTGCCCACGTAGGAATCTTGGGTTGCCCATAGATGCGCAAAATCCACCAGGAAGTGGCCTTTGGCTTGTCTGGAATTTGGCTGCTTTATGGCATCATGGAGACTTGGATAGACCTGGTGATTGAATCTGTGTGTCAGATGTGAATTACTGTTGTGATTGCGTTCTCATTTTGAAGAACATCCTCCTCATCTTAATTTTCTGGAATCTGCTTGGGGCCTATCAGCCCCCCTCGATGGTGCCCTTGCTGTACTTCCCCGTGTTGTCCCATTTGTGAAGTTTGGACCGCCTTGGAAGACGAGACAAATCAACCGCTTACATCGCTTGATGTTGGTCGCTTCGTCGAGGATCCTGTTGATCATGTTCATACACTACACAACCAATACTTTGACACATGATCAACACAAGTCTCACGCTTCATCAAATGTTGAATGGCTTATATATATATACATATGACATATATATAATTCTATATACAAGTACCAGTGTTAAGTCGTTTGGTCTTGTAGAAAGTCGTTTGGATGTTGCGTTTACAATGGGGTTAGATGCAAGATGGCAATATAACTGCGGCCGGGTGACTTTCTGCAAACCCGGATGACTAAACCCCGACGCTTGTAACATATACATATACATACACGTGCACTCTGCACTATCGAATCAATCAAAAGAAACACGACGGACTCTCTCTGCGATCCCAGAAGAACCTCGCCCGGACCACCGCGATGCGGCCATGTTCTAGGAATGTTGCCACGTGGATGCCGGAGATGAGTTCCTGGCGGCTGAGAGGGAGGCCCAACGTCAGCAGGTGCCCTGCTTGTGCATCGATCTGGATATGGCACCTCGACACCAACCTGAGTCCGCCCTTCGATCCGCCGATCCACCCATTAAAGTGCATGCCGCGGCATCGGATGCATCGGATGCACACGCCTGATGTGTGGACGTGACAGGTGTGTGTGGTGTGTTGGTATTGATTGAGGACAAGGACAAGTCATTGAAAAGTGCTTGGGAAGATGGTTCTGATTCTATAGTTATTGATGATTCTCAGTGGGTGGCCTTTTCCTCATTTTTAGCTGGTCCTGTATCACTTCAAACATTGTTGGTTTCGTGGACATCGTCATTTGAGCGGTTCACTACAGTAGTATGTCTATGGTTGATGCCCATACTGTAGTGGCCCTTTCTATGGTAAACTGTCAACCTTAAAATTCCTTGAGCACTAGTTTTCCCAAAAGCACATTGAACACAACCATTCCCCTGCTGTCGGATGGATATTGTACCCAAATCCAATATGGACCTTATGTATTCAGGTAGCCAATCTTAGATGCACCCTTTTTCACCATGTCCGTTGTCTATGGTTTGTTTTTTGAACGAGATGCTATTCACCCCTCATGCAGGTCAACATCTCACTCCATCCCCACCCATTCAAAAAAACCTGCAGTTCCACTGGTGGAGAGGTCTCTTCGGACTGCTCACCGACTGGGATGGTTTTTTCAAGACCTTGCCCATCCGCCCAGCCCGACACGTTCCAGGACCGGCTGTGCAGTCGCTTCGCCGCCGCGGCGGTGCCGTCGCCCCGGAATGTGCTGAAGGTCACACCGACGGCCGCAGTTGGGGGGGGCGCGGTCGTTGCAAGGACCCGTTGGATGTGGAAGACCTTGGGACGCCCAAAACGGGAGACCTTGGGACCGGTGTTTGGTGGGTTGAGATGTGCGACAGAAGGACGGGAAGGGTTCGATGTGGCGGGGTGCGGTCACGACCAGCGACATGTGACCAGCGTGACATGTGTGATTGGTGAGCAGCCTTTCTTTAAAGCGCAAGAAGAAACACAAAACACACATAAATAAAACCTCTCAGCATCACGGAGTTGAGGTGGTTTATAGACACCCCTGACTTTATATATATATTTGCTTTATAACATTATATATATATAATAACTAAATAACTACTATATGTGTTTGCCAATAACCACCCTTTTTGTGCTGCTTGCATTACGGTTGGCCATATCGTTCTGCTTCACGAACGAGACCTGGCCATTCCCCTCCTTTGCGGGGCTCGGTTCCCCGCCAGGCCATGGGCGCGTGGCTCTCGGTGCCGCGCCATGCGCTGCGGATTGGTTTTCCTTCCACCTGCGACTTGGACCAGGGAGCGCCGCTATAGGGTGAGCGCCGCGTGTTTGGGGTGAGCGCTTTTGAGATGTTTTTGCTAGCTATAATACGTATAATAGGCATAGTTGGGTCGAGGACCTTTGGTCTTTAAAGCAAAGCCGTATGGCGAGTCTCAAGTCCTTGGGGTGCACCATTCTGCAGATCTGAGCGTCTCAAGATTTACAGAGGCAACTATAGGAAGAGATGAAACACACCGTGAAAGGTTCCTGGTGCAAGTACATTGTTGGAGTTGTTTTCAGTCTCCAATATATGTCACCTCCCTGAGCGATGTCAAATAGCACTTCGACCAGCGGGCTCACATAGCTTGGCCACGTTTGACCAATTGTGAATGGTGATTTGTTGAGTAATGGACTTGGTGCGCCTGCCTTGTCAGAAATCCACAGAGACGTACGCTTGCCGCTTGCCAAATGTTGCAGACAAATCCTGGTTTGGTAGGAATCTTTGGGCACTTCGCAGTTGTTCTTTTCAAATCGAAGGGACATGAAGGAGCTGTTCTTTCTGCTTTGAACCATAAAAAAACCGATCAATTTTTAGTACCAACACGCTCTCCATGGAGTTGAAACACCGGGTCACGCTCTCGTACAGGTGATGTGGATGTGCTGGGCTGCACTGCTTTGCACTTTGGGAGCTTCCGGTGGCTCGACCTGTGAGCGGTTGTTCATCCCTTTGCACCCGTGCCGCTGATCATCAATCGAATCAGGGCATCCAATCAAGAACACTTGAACACACTCAAGTAGCTGAAGTGGCTAGTCATTGAGTCATTGTGGATCATGGTGGTTCAGGCACCTAGGTTTGCAATAAAGCAAACCCAGAGACTCATTGATCGTTTCCCTGCACCCCACACCCGCCCAGGGGTGAAAACCAAGAGTTGAAGACATGTGAGACACCAGTGGACTTTCTAAATGCACTCATGTTCTTCCTTTCGGAGACCACTCACCTTCAAACAAAGAACATTTGGGGGTGTCCAGAGTCTAGCCACCCCAGCAGCCTACTCCATCCACTCACCAGTCCGGATGGGGGTGGACATACTGGGTGCCTGGATAGGCTTCGCACTTGCCTGAGCTTCATCCTGGGTGCCTTTGGTGCCAGTGCTCTTGTCGCGCTGCTCCTGCTGCTGCTGGGCAGCGGCGCTGAAAGCGCTGCCGAGGCGAGACCGGCTCACTAAGACAGGAGGCAGAACTTGTAATTGTAACGCTTGGTTCTTCCATTTACTTTCTTAATATGTTTGATATTATATATATTATATACTGTAAGTTATAGAGTTATAAGTTACCTGGACCTTCAATCGACCAATACTTTTTGGTAGTTCTGGTCAGTGACCTGGTTTTCATCATAATCGATCAATTCCAACCCAAATCGACCAGATTGACCAAATCGACCAAGAATGGTGAAAATCCATCCAAAGTGTACTTGAATGCACCTGTTCACATTGGAGCCCATCTTATGCTCAATTTGGATGAGGCGGGCCAGCAATCCATCTTTTGTGCCCTTTGCAATTGCCAAGTGAACCAAGTGCATGTACCAGCACTGGATTTGGCGAGCATCCTTTGGCTCGAACATCATGCATGCATGTTGCAACACATGCAATGCAATACCTCAACCAACACATACTGATTTCCTCAAGTGTATTGAGTGGGTTGAGTGGCTAGCGTGATGGCGATTGTGTCACATGAGCGTAAAGCATCATCGGTGTTGGCTGAAAAGTGGGAGGACATCTATGAACTACGTAGGCAGGCTCCAGAACTGAAGCTTGCCCCTTAGCTGTCATGGCTACATTTGGCTACCATTTTTGGGAAAGTAAAGAACTATAACCAACGATACTTTACCAAGTTTTTTTTTGGCCTTGGTTGACTGAACCAAGGTTGTTTGCCAGGGAAAGGTGATCTCCAGAGACACTCTGAAGCAGAACGCCCATGTGCTAATTCCAGCTATTGAGTTGGTTGGGTGCAGGATAACAGTCTCAACTGCTCAATTCCATGTGGCGGAGTTCTATAAATTGCTTGGGGTTGACTGCCCTAGTGACTTGGTATTGATGGTAAAATCCACTGATTTCCCATGTTTGCTCAAAATGATGGAATCAATAAATCCAAACAAAACATAAACAAGACTGTGGACCTGAGGTAGCACCGTGGAGTTGCAAGGATGGGTACTTCGCCGTTGCCTTTCAGAAGTGAACAGGGTTTGTGGTCGCCCGTATCGCCCAACGGACCTAAAGATCCGGGAACTATGTGGAGTTGCTGGAGTCACTTGGCCTGAGCCAGAGCCCAGGTCTAGGAGTGATCTAGGTGACGAGGGTGAGGATGAGGAGGATCTGGGTGAGGAGTCCTTTGAAAGTGAGGATGGAACTGATGATGAGGAAATAGAAGAGGCAACAGAAGAACAACATCCAGGTAGGGGTCCTGTATCGCAAACATGGTTTGCCTGGGAGTTCTCATGGCAGGTGCTGCTGCACTGGAGCCTCCTCCTCTCAGAGATGTGCCAACGGGCCTGAGTGCATCGCCGTTGTGCACTCCACCCCCCAAAGGCTCGGTCTGTGTGCTTTGGATGGGAAAGTGTGCATGGTTCAATTGTGGAGGTGTTGTGGTACCTACATCTACACCATCTCCGGTTCCTGAAGTGGCTTCGGTCTTCTCCTTAGCTTTAATACCATTCCCTTGTGCCAGTTCTTGCATGCTTTTAAGGTGGGTGAGCACTGGCACCAACGAAAGCTTCACTTGCTTGTGGAGTTGCAATCTAAGCTGGTGGAACTCAAGAAGCTCAAGAATCTATACCAGTTGAAGGGTCAAAAGCCTAATTGTTCAGAGCCTCTTCCATTTGCAGGAGTTGTCTGCCCTGACAATGTGGAGACGCAACCAATGGACTGGAATATGACTTCGACCCCATATGATGCACAAATACGCCTGTGTGAGGCAGGGCAGTTGACCTGTACTTTTTTCTGGGAGTGGAGTACTTGTTTGTGGGAGTGGAGAGGGGTTTGAATTGAGGCACACCTGCGGGAAACCGAAGATGAGCTGAATGGAGAAATCACCCCCACTGCCTCCCTGGGCTCAATTTGGGCTAGATCTCCCCTTTCTGAACTGGATCCGATTGAGGCAGAAGAAACCATGAAGGATGAGTCTTCACTTGCTGTTGGTGAGGTGCGCCTTGGTTTGTTGTACTCTAGCTCTTCAACAAACTCTAGGTGAGACCAGTTACTGTAATCTATTGGCACCTGTCCAGGCTGGCCTGAAGTTTCAAAAGAAGCAACCCATTGGAGAAGGAGCGGAAGAGGAGAGGGCAAGGCTAGAGGAAGAGTGGCAACAGGAGGCAGCAAAGGAAAAGAAGAGGTTGGCAGAAGAAGCCAGGTTGAGGGAGGAAGTGCGTGAGAAGGAGGCTGCCAGGTTGAATGAAGCCAAGAAGAAGGAGGAAAAGGCCGCAGGAGAGAAGGAAGAACAAGAGAAGGAGGAAGCCAGGTTGAGGCAGGAAGAACAA